CCGTCCTCGCCGCTGCCAACCCCGTTTACGGCAGGGTAATGTCTATTCTATATTAGCTGTTCCCGTGCGACTTCATCCGCATAAAATTATGAAAATTTTAATTTTATTGTTTACAATTGTCAAATTATCAATTGCAAAGTCAATAATGACAAATCATGGCAACCTTGCTTCCTTAATGTTGGCAGCTTGTAGTTTATGTTCCCTTTCCCTCATGAAGGTTTTTTAAAATATATTTATCCCCAAGTTTAATACTCTAAGCGTGTCGTACGTGTAGGGCTTTTTATTAAAAAGGGAATTATTCAAAAATATGTAGTAATTGCAGACATCCTACGCCACGAAGTATTGTGTGTTTACGCTTTATTATAATAATATAGATGTACAGTTGAGGATATGGTGTTATACTTAAATAAATTGCTTTATACCTCGCAATGAGAAAATCTCCGTCTATAACACTTGAAGTAGCTGTAAGTTACGCAAATAATGAGAAAATAAAATTGATCGTGTACCACGTTACTTACGAGTGTGGACGTATAGAGGTAGACCTAGAAAGAGAGGGATGTATCGCGTGAAAGGTGACATGATCAGGGAGTGATGACAGATGACGGATGATAGAGTTATTTGGCGGACCAAAACCTGCCACGCTGCCTTACGGGAGTCCTACGGGATAAGGAGGAAGATAAGCTCTGACAAAATTTTTAATAATCTAAATAACATCAGCAACTTGCCCTTAAATACGCTCTTGTGGAATCCGAGGTACCATATTACCAATATCAGCCTACACCAGTTCTGGAAAATAGCCGTATCACGATCTACTGGGACCGATCTATTATTACGGACAGGACTATTGCTGCCAATAGACCTGATATAGTAATAATAGATCGGTATGAGAGTTGTGTAATGTCAGTCGATGTCACTATCCCACATGACGAGAATCTCGTGAAAGCCGAAAATGAAAAACTATTAAAATACTTGGATTTGGCTCACGAGATTACCGCCATGTGGCGTATGAAATCGACTACCATTATTCCGATAGCCGTTTCGGTGCACGGGCTGATAGCGAAGAGCTTCGACCAACACTTCAAGAAGCTCTTGCTTGACAGTTGGATTAAGGGCCCGATTCAAAAGGCGGTTATTTTAGAAACCGCACGCATAGTGAGGAGGTTCCTGTCTCTGCACTGACCACTGGTTGCTTGAGTCATCGGATTCCGCAGCCGGTGGTGCTTCTTTTTTTATATAATATATTTTATTTTTATATCAAATCTTGTAAAATGTATTATGTAGAGAATAAGAAATAAAGGATATATGGGAGAATCTAAATAATAATAATAAAAGCTTCACTTAAAATCTAGTGTTTGTTGCTCTAATAGAGTAGAAATAAAAATTGTACTTTTTTAATAAATGTAAACTAGTACCATCGTTATTAATCAGCTTTATATATATTTATACAAAATATATACAAAAAAATTCAAAACTATCTGGATCACATCTTGACTTCTTATTGTTCTACGTCTTAATATTTTTTAAAAATAAAGGTCTTGGCGGCCAATATGCAACCTCTTTGGCTGTATTAATAATTCTTGTCAGCCACAGAGGTTGTGTTTGCACTAAACACCTTTGTTTTTATGTTCCAGTATGACCAATATAAAACCCCAATGGAGAACATCGGTCTACAAGACTCGTTGCTGTCTCGTTTCGACCTGCTTTTCGTGATGCTGGATATCGCTGATGCTGACCATGATAACCTCATCTCAGAACATGTTCTTCGTATGCATAGATACAGGTAAACATAAAGAGGATTTCCAAACCAATACGACTTAGGGTCCTTCAAGAAGCGAGCCTATCATTTCCTCAAAGGCCGGCAACGCATCTGTAGTTCCTCTGGTGTTGCGGATGTCCATGGGCGTCGCTGACCACTTCGGTGTTCTCGCCGCTCGTTTGCCCCCCTTTATTATAAAAAAAAGGAAATATTTGTATTTTTGTGTGTATTGAAATAATTTTAAGCAACTGGACCGATTTCAAAAATTCTTTCAACATAAAAAAGCTATGATATCACACACTTCATACTAATATTATAAACGTGAAAGTTTGGATGGATGTTAGTCAGAGTTTGTAGCCTAAACTGCTGAACGCATTTTGATAAAATTTGTTACATCTGTAGAGTATAGTCTGGAAGAACACAGACTACTTCATTTTTTTTAATTCCGCGCGGACGACGTCGCGTGCGAAAGCTAGTGATCTATAAATATAAAAGTTTAAATGGATGTATGTTTGTAGCCTTAATTTCTGAAGGGATCTTAATGAAGTTTGAATTAGATGTGGAGTATTCTCTGGAATAGCACATATATACCAAATAGGGATTTAATTTTTTTATATGGTTGGATTACTAGTTTTAAATTATCATAGAAAACCATAAAATACTCTAAATGATGTAAAAAATACAAATTTCCAGAAATCCAAAGGAACAAGACGGGGAAGTACTGCCAATGGGATCTACAGTGGAAATGCTCTCTACTGAAAATCCAGATACTGATGAAGTAGAAGTAAGTTTATTTTATAATTATTTTTTGTGTATAGATGGCGCTACTTGTAGATTAACACAGTAACGCCATCTAGTATAGCATTATGCTATAACTGGCAACTATAAAAATAAACGTTGCCAGTTGATAATCCAAGCTAAATCTAGTTTTAGGTGGAGCAGCTAACATTAATATAGTTTTTTTATTTAATACTTTTTGCCCAAATATGTATAAGTATACTAAAACTATGCTACCACTGGATTTGCCACTGTCTTTGCCAGTCTTGCTATCAGCCATTACAGGCAAGCCACGGTTTTTTCTAGATTTTAAATCTGTTTTAGATATTTTCGCTCCTTTCAGGGTTTTTTAATTGTTGGCGGGGGATTTTTTTTATAACAAGGTGGCAAACGAGCAAGCGACCACCTAAATCCACCGAAATGGAAAGCGACCGCTGCCCATAAACATCTGCTATTGCAGATGCATTGCCTTCCCTTGATTAACGGAGGCGGAGACGCACATAAAAAGGACATTTCCCCTTCCTATGGGTCTCCACCGTCATAACCACTTTTCCTTCCCATCCTTTCCTGTTAAGAAAAGGGTGGAAAGGGAAAGAGATTAAAATTAGGCCTCCGGCACCACACTCATCTTACGAAATGCGGAATTTCTCTTACTTCACGCCTGTTTTCTGTGTGGTATTTCATCAGGCGAGCCGGCCCTACAGTGCGAAGATGTTAAAGCTGGCTCTACCTATTAATTGTCTGCCAAAATATAATTACCCTTTAACCTTGTTTTATAATAGTTTTATAAATTTCGATATGAATGGCTTTTTAAAAAAATATGACAGTCGAGCGGTAATATGAGCAATACTGGTGAATTATTATAAAACGAATACACTAAGGCAACTA